TATTGCCTATTCAAATTTGGCAATACCTGATGTGGCTTGGTTCCTTCCTGCTCAACGTGGTTCATTTACAGTGACAGCAGTCAGTTCAGACTTCATACCTGCCAATAACACCATATCTGAATAATGTCAAATCTGATAAATTTTCAAATTAAATGGATAAGTATATCTCTATTAGTGTCCAACGCCTGAGAAAATGGCCAAAAACAACAGACTATCATGAGTACAAACCTAAATTCCGTAACCCTGACCTTCACATTGCAAGAGGGGGAAATACAAAGCAGACGGCCGACCACTACAGCTTTCTGTCGACTTAAATTGATTAGGGCTCTTTCGTGGCAAACATAATTATCAAATGGGACGAAGGGGGTCAAACTGTTTCAGTTGCGGGTGAAAGAGAAAGCAGAGAAGACCAAGTCCACTCTCCCTAAAAGTACCAATTTATGGTCCAGTGAAAGTGGTCCGCCGCATCCCTTCGGTCGAAACTCTCACTCTCCGTTTTTATCCACCCCTTTCGATCGTAATTTTATTCGAAGAAATTTTCAACTTGGATGACAAGAACGACACCGAATCTCATTCCAGGCCCAAAACAGATTATTTGGAGTAGCTGGCTATATAGGTTAGCTCAGAATGTACGTATCACAGACTGATTCGCCTTCATTTAACCGGGTAGGTAAATAGCCTTCGTACAGGCTCGAATAGTGGTATCTTTTCATTATGTTGACCGCTTCAAATATTGGTCTGAAACTAGGTGAAAAACGTTTTGACAGACGGATTTGCCTTCATTTGACAGGGTAGGCAAACGTGTTTGTAGTGGGTCGAATAGTGGTATCATTTACTTTTGTTGACCGCGCTTCAAATATTGGCTCATATAACTAATGAAAAAAGTTTTGACGGAGTGACTTGCCTCCATTTAACAGGGTAGGCAAAACGCGCTCGAGGAGCTTCGAATTGTGATACCTTTAGTGGTAACCCTTTAATTAATGGTCTGCAACGACGTGGAAATTGTTTTGACGCACTAATTCGCCTTCATTTTACAGGGTAGGCAAAATGCGTTCGTGGAGGTTCGAATAGTGGTATCTTCAAATTGTGTTGACTGTTTTAAATATCGTTTATGAATGTTTTACCATAATGCACGCACATGTCGCAGACTTGTTATATACTGTTTTTCTGACCATCCGCGTGAAATTAGTGCTTCGGCTAAAGGCAGCATTTTCGGCAGGAATTGCATTTGCAACCATTTGAATAAATTATGGACGCGACTTTCCTAGTTAAATTATCGTGAAAATTGATACGTTATATTTGTGAAAAGCTCAACTAATATATAATTGTCAAGAAGTCGACAGCCCAGGTAGAGAGCTTGAAGCTCCCTATGGATCGTACGTTCGATACATCAAACTGGTGAGATTGTATCGATATCAATTGGTTCAACAAGTAGAGATCGCCTCAAAAGTCAATTGAGTAATCTGAACGGAAACGGGTTTCTTGTGATGGATGTTTTATTCTTATGAGTATAGAATGGCAATGTGAAGTGAAATCGTTAGGAATTTATTCATTTTTAGCTTTTCTTACTTAAATATTAAAATTTTTGTCTGGGGCTACGATCCATTCTTTTGAAACAAACGATACATCGAACTACTATCTAATACGATCTACTCTAGAGAGTTTTTTGTTGCACGTTCTTCAAAAATCGCGGAGGGAAGGCGAATTCTAGACGAAATGAGCTCAATTAGGTCTCGTTAAAAAGGTATTAAGAAGAGTCACAAGTTTTATTTTACTTGATTGAGCTCATTAAATGAGGTTTATTTCGACATTATTGATATTTCTCTCAAAACAGACCAACTCTCAATTTTTTAGCCTCTGTGCTACCTATATGCTGTAAGGTTGAACCATTGGCGGATCCAGCAAATTGGCAACATTGTTTTCTCCCCCATTTACGTATATGGAAATGTATCGATTCTTGAAGGGACCAGGTGTTTTGACAAGAATCGATTATTCAATATAGTTTTAAACGGAGAAAATCCGATGTTGCCAAATTGCTAGATCCGCCTGTGGGTTGAACTGACGAAAAAGAGGAAAGACCTTGACACGAATCAATACCTAAGACGCAGCAATGCGAGATAGGTCTCCAGCAACAGCGGGTCAAACTGTTGACGCTTTTCGTAAAAAAAATCTGATGATAGCCAACGAAGACACAACGAGGTCCTTAACGAGCCAGCATCAGAGAATCCTTTGAGACTTGTTCGGAGGACACTGAACCAAAAGCGTTGTCATACCCGCTGAAAAAAATCGCCTCTTTCCCACAAATACAGCCCGTGGATATTGAGCGGCATTGCCTGACTTGGCAACAGAGCCCAAGAGCTTTCCGAGAGGTCAATAAGACCCCCAAGAAAAATTTATACCCCGTTCATCAGTACATCGTCCAGTTAGTCCGTAATAACAGATTACTCACTCTGCCCGGGGCACCAAAGTGGCACGACACGATTAATCGAAACTGCGTTCGAGATATTCTCCACGTTTCGATGAGCGACTGCCGCATGGCGATAATCGAGGTATTGCATCGGATATACGGCGTGTGGGTTGCCTCTTGTCGCATTTGATTCGCGACCTATTTTTCCTATTGAAACGGGATTTGCAGTTATATGCGAAGTTACGGAAACTAAAAGCAAGTGGGAGGCACTGTGGGCACTAAAGAAAAACATCAGCATTTATCAAAATTTTACCATTAATAGCTGTTTTGAAGGAAATTTGTATTTAAATTCGTGGGATCCATTAATTTGCGCAAGAAATCTTTTTCATTCTTCTCTACATCCTCTTCCTTTTTTCCCAATAAGAGACACATAACACACTTCTTTATCTTAAATGTTATTTTAGAATAGCATACAATTTTCCGACATATAAGCAAGAATAAAATAAATAATGAATAATGTAAATACATACTTAAATAAATTATTGGAATAGAAACAACTGTGAGAAACAAACAAATTTATAAAAGTTACGGAAAGGACATCGTCATTGGTTGATACTGTGTAAACTGGTGCAATGTGATGCAACAACACGTCACTTTCCAACATTCCTCCAGACTTTTCCCCTCATTTTTCTCAACTTTTCCCCCGGAAGAATGCCGGCTTGCATTCTGTGCAAATACTGTGGGTCAAAATTATAGGCTGTACAGATTTTCCATCCAATCCCGGCTCTACACTGAGAAAAAACTATGGCTTATAAACCCATTAGAGGTAAATATGGAACACCACTAATAGTAGTACCTCTACATATAATAATAGCACATATACCTTAGTTATGGTACGGGGTACCTTAATTAGGTACAGAGACCTTAGTATGGTTCACAGACCGAGAATCATTAGTTTATTTACGACTATTATAGGTGTTCCATATTTACCTCTAATAGGTTTATAAACCATAGTTTTTTCTCAGTGTATGATTAGGGGATGGCACGACGTCTAAAGCCGATTGGATTCAGAGCGGGCTGTATCTCCATGTATATTTGTAACCCTAATTTTACACCTCTTAAATTTGGAGCTTATTCTCAGTGTGCTTAGTCAAAGTTCATTTGATTGCTTCATGATATCCTGCATTGGTGGTCCATCGTTTCCCCCTTAGTCTATAACAGCCTTCCGTTTCAACCAATAAAATCGTTCCATTTCCTCTCTGTTTTCTCTGTCTATAGCTTTGTCTATTGATTTCATTAATCATCTCGTAGATCTCAATGCGAATTTCGTCACAATGTTTGTCTTAACACGTTAAAGCCGCTCTTAAACAATACTCAGAAAAGCTTATTCAATTTTGACCGGTCATCAATGTCATAAATCTACAATCCCGTTTCACACTTGTCAATTCGCTCGACTAATCCTATCATTCAATAACGATCCAACAATTCAAGTCCGTCTTTTCGTCAACGCAATACGTCACTAAAAACGTCAACCGCGTGCGTCACGGGGGGCAATTTAACGGGTGCGAGACGCGCCGTGGGTTATGTTGACCCCGCGCACTCCTTTTCCCGGCGACCCAGAACCCTCCATCGCTGAATTGCCGATTTGTTGCTTTTCCTACCATGATTTTGGGTTCGATTCCCGGCGAACGGCAAACGCTGCCTGGGCATCATCCCTCGTGGGTGCTCCTTCATTATCGGGCTGACAACAACCGATATTCCGCGATGCAGTTCCGGGTGCAGCCGCTTGATGTGACAGAAATTGAATGGACGTCGCTTAGAAAATATGAGATCGATTTATTAAGAGGGCATCCGTGTAGAGTGTGTGTTGAGTGGAATGTAGAGACGAGCATTCACCCCTCTCCTTCCCTCCTCTTGAAACTCCATGATGACAGATGGAGAGTTTTCATCGCGGGAACTCACCGCACTCAACCCCGAGATTAACCTTTTGGTTAGTCTTGAGATAATATGGACTGCATTTTGCAATTTGGAACTATAAATTCTGGCTCATCTGAAAAACACTTATGTGCAGAGGGAAACTAATGGCACATACGTTGTTTTTAAACCGGGCCAGAATGTGTAGGTCCAAATTGCAAAATGCAGTCCAAATATCGATGGCTAGAGTGCGAAATCACGTATCTCCATAGCTGTGATTTCAAATGCCTGCTACTATTTCATTTTGTCGAAGAAAAATAAGCCAACTTGATAGCTTGGAATTTTGACAGTACATTCTGCTGAAAGAGGAGAAAATTCGGAGAAGTTGTCAAGAAATTACGTTGACTAGTTGATTTCTCACGACTGAAGAGTATTGGCGATTGGCTTGGCAATCCATGCGGGGTCTCCGACACATATTCTCCCATTTCACGAATTTTTTATTTGATTATTACACCTAATGATACAAAATTAAACTTTTAGGCCCGTTGAATAGTTATTCCATCCCACCATGCCTACCCCATGTAAAGGCCTCTTCAATCTCACTTGACTCCATTCCTAGAAACTGATCCGTAAGGATCGAGAATGTTAACGAACTAATTTTGATCTTGTATGATTACAGCACGTCACGATCCAGTTACTGAAAAGAAGTATTTTCGGGATGTGGCTGGTGTGTTTGACGCTGGTCTGTCTTCCTCTCGTGCCCAACATTCACTTCGGGCTGTACGCCGAGCAAGACAACTGCACCGGCCAGTACATTTGTGCCCGATACAAAATGGCCAAAGAGACGCCAGACGTCACCTATGCCTACCTATATTTCACTTTCGGTGAGCATTCAAAAATATTCCATCAAATCAATCCTTCAAGTGATGATACTTACCTGGATGTCACAAATCAAACAGAACAAATCTGCCTCTAAGATCATTCAACAAATTCAAATCAAAAGGAACTATGTATCCATCGTGACGTGAACCCTATCATTTTTTTTTTTTTTTTTTTTTTTTTTTTTTTTTTTTTTGGATATAACATATTTATTAATTTAATTACAAGTTACAACCAATTAAGACAGTAATTGGCGAGAGTGAACCCTATCATGCATGCACTATTCTTACACATCTCAGGGTTGATGTCGGAATGGATATAGTTCTCTTTGATTTAAATAGTCTTTTTAGGAAATTGAACAATGACACAAGAACTGGTTAGTACTAAAGAAGTAGATAGCACATAGACTCTACTATGAGCATAGTTCTATGAGCACCTAGTTCCAAATATAATGGAAATCCCTTGACGAGGGGTAATCTGGGGGGGGGGGCAAGGCCCCAAAATTGGACGTATTTCTATCAAACGGAACTATGTGCATTAAGACATGAACCCTGAGACCCATAAGAATTTGTGCATAACAGGGCTCACGTCATAATGCACATAGCTCCGTTTGATAGAAATACGTCCAATTGAGAATAGTATCATCTGCCCCACCCCAGAAATTCTGGATGGTGGAAAAAAACCTTCGTCAAGGATACATGTTTGTCGCAGTGCATGGCCCTTAAGAAGATCTGTCAATTTGAAGAAGGAATTTTGCAATTTTTCCCAAATTTTCTCGCAAGCGCACTTGCGGAAGTTTTACTGTGTTTATTTTCAGTAACGTGCAATTGATTTTTATAGGAATACAACTTTTGTGCAAAAATTATTGTAAAAATCGTGTCACGGAAGCCTCAAAGTGTGTCCGAATAGAGTTTAAATTTTAAAGAAATTCCCTGAACTCCCCTCTATCATAGAGGGGTATTCCATACCTTCCAGACCCCCCTTCCTCCCTAGGAAAACAGCCTGGCTGCGCTTATGGTCATCGTTTAAAATGTATCAGCCAAAAAAAAAATGATAAGGGTTACGGGAGTGTTAACGTTTAATCAACCAAATACACTTTGACATTATGCAGTCGAAATCAGTACAATTCAAGGATTACATTATATTTCAGGGATGATCCTGGTCTTCTGTATTGTGTGGTGCAATCTGGCTGTGATGAAATCCCTGTGTCTGAAGGGACCACCAGGATCCCGACAACATGTCCTCGTCAGAAGGATCAGTCGAAACAGCTCTCTGTCCTCCAACTCCTCGACCAAAGAGGAGGTTGCCTTCGGGAAACTTATGGTGCTACTCTGCGTTGTTTTCGTCCTATGCTGGCTTCCTCAAATGGTAAGGCATTGTCGAGTAATAATTAGTCGTATCGAAATAGTTGGGTTCACGCGATAATTAATTGCTGACACAATCCTTTGTCTGAGCGCATTTGAATCAATATGAACTTGACATTTTCCTCTGGTCTTATAGCCTCACTTCAGAGAAATCGGCACGCGCTTGCATAATTCAGGATTTGAATGGCAAATTGGTTCTTGCCAAGATTCAATTTACCTATTTTTCTAGTGAGCCATTTCCTCTGTATACGACAGTTTAATAATCTCTTTAATGGCAAAAGACGTGAACAGGGGTGGAAGGGAGGAAAGAATAACGATGGCCAGCTACTTGAGTAAATAGGTGCACCTTCATTTTCTTAATTCTGAGCTTTTCTCCTCTTGAATTTACTAATGACACTCTTTATTTCTATGTTCTCTCTCCTCCTTCCTTGTTTCTCTCTTAATTGTATAAAGTAAGAACACACATCAGGACAGGAGCCGAATGAGTGCGATAAATACAGGCGTGAGTTAAAGTGCTCCTTCCATTCGATGCTTATGCAATTTTGCATACTTAAAAGTTGAAAATAACTGCATTATGTCATCACTCTTCAGTCTCATTCCCGCAAAAAACGAAGATCATTTCCTCTGCATATTTGCACAATGCACTCAAGTACATTGTAATATCATCAGAATTGTGTGATCACTTTACTTCTGATTAAACTGAAAGCTGGAAATTGGGCAATTGTTAGAAATTAATTAATCATCTCTGATTTTGCATGCATTTGTCAGGGTTGCCACAGAATTTAGAATTCCCTGAAATTTTCCTGATTTCTCTTACACATTTTGGTTAAAATCCCTAACAATTGAAGATCTGACGGATGGTTCAGGAGGCATGATTGAAAAAAGTTTTCAGGCAAAATTTCTTGTTCAAAATCTCAAACCCATTCAAGAAAGCAAATGAAGGTGATTTAATGAATTTTCCTTGACATTTTCATCATTTGCCATGATATTTCCTGGTCTTCCCTAATTTTTTAAAATTTTCTGACATTTCCCGGTATTTTTGGTTTCATCTGACTGTGGCAACCCTGATTTCGTCACCTTCCAGGCAAAGTATCACAAGCGCCATGCGACGTTTAAAAATTTCCGCCGCCATTTTATTTCTTTACTGAGAAATTGTTGGTTGAATCTGTTTGGAAATTTCACTAAATTTTATCGGCAGCACAAAGAAAATTCAGTGAAATTTTCGGACAGCTTCGTTCAACAATTTCTCTGTAAAAAAATAAAATGGCGGCGGAAATTTTTAAACGTCGCATGGCGCTTGTGATACTTTGCCTGGAAGGTGACGATTTGTTGCGAATAAATTGTGAGAACAAAGTTAAATGATGATAATTATTATAATCGCTTAGTTAGAAATTTTTCCTTCATGAACTGAGGTCCCTTTTCCCGTCGACAGACGTATTGTTTATTTTAAAGGCTACATAGACCTTTATGGATACAGACCTATACCAAAAAAAAAAATCATTCACCAGTCAGATACTTATTCGCAGATTATTAACAGTCACAGGATTTATCGAGCTCCCCTCAACATTCATCAATATGGATGCCTTAAGTTACGAGATGAATATCGTATGGCTTCGAGGTCTTAATGGTTCAACTGCACTGCAGGTTCGCTCGCCATGCTCCATCTGGTCATTTAAATTCCCCGCACATTCTCAATTCAATTGTGCTAATTTCGACGCAAAGTCTGACTTGATGGACGGCAAAGGCAGGGATTAAACCAGAGAGCTTTTGACTTTGAAAGTGTGGAAGACGTCTTGCGATGCTCCACTCTCACCCCCCATCGTGGACCATTGCGGGTATTACCTAAGACGTCATTTCTCCTGTGCTTAGAAAAAAGGCCGTAAGAGACTTCAGGAGTTGCGAAAATTCCCCTGATAAAACGGTAATTTTTGAGGAGAGTTATGAATATTTTTCCTTGAAATTTTCATATAATTTAGGTCAAATTGTGAGTTAAATTCTCTGAAAAATTGAAATAAAAATAGACGTATTTCAACTAAACGGAACTGTAGAGGAGTAGGAAAGATGGGGTGTGCTCTAGAAAGCTACAGAAGGAACAATGTAAAAGTAGGCGTGATAAGAAAAGCGGGATTTTATACATCCTGCTAAACAGAACTAAGCGCCAAATGTATGATAACTCATGAACCGTGGACATGTGCCAACAGCGCTGTGGACAAGGCTCATGAGTTATAGCTCCCCGTTCGTTCCCGATCCCGAATCCGTCGCTTTTGACGTCACTGGCGCTTTATAATTCCCATTCATTCTTACGACCCTCAACTATCGAGCATACCCCTTCTTCCCCGCCTACCTCCGGTTCCGTTTAGCAGAAATACGCCTAAATACATTGCATTTTGCAAAAAGGAACCAAGAGCAATCTGATGTTGGTAAAGATTGTGCAACTTACATTCTTCGCGATAAAACTACTGGAATCACGCGAAAAATTAAAATGAAGGCAATTTTTATCTTGAAACTATAATTTAATGGGAGTAAAGATAAAACTTGTTTAAATGATCAAATTATATTTGCAAAGTAAAAAAATTTGCACAATCTTAGTGACATTGTAATACTCTTGGTTCGTTCTGGCAAAATGCAAGACAAATATTCAACAGTTTCATTAAAAAGTCGTATTTTATTGGAAGAAATTTGGCAACACCATGAAGACCCTTACGACGTTTGTCCTAAGCACAGCAAATTTGGTGTTTCCACGCGAAATTTTACGGAGAACACGTTGATTAAATTGCAAATCCCGGTTTCGAAACTTCATTACTTGCCCTTGTGTTGTGTCGAGGTCGAGGAAGTTTCTAAATTTTCCCGCGATTGCCCTTGTTCGTTGAAACGCGGGCAAAGGAAACAAAAGGGCGATGGTCCATTAAAAGCACTCTGCCTTGCCATGCCCGTGCGCGCGCCATTTATAGAAACCTTAACTCGTCATATCGGATGCCCAAGTGCTCCACGCGCCCGCTTTTGAATAATCTACGAGGACCGTAAAAGTTTTCTTTTTTTATTTTATTTCATTTCATTGTACGCCTGGAGTTATTGATCAGGGTGTATTCGAGGCACTCCGTATTTCACGACTTTCCGCTTGATGAGATCCTTAAACAGGCTCAGCTCAAGCGCGAGGATGGCCATGTAAAAATGTGACGCAGCAAGGCAAAATTTGACGTATTTCTGCTAAACGGAACCAGAGACAGATACAAATTATGAGGTGGTTTTGCTGCCTTCTTTTCATTCATTTTGAAACATCAATAAAAACCATCCAGTGACGGAGGGGGAGGTGTGCATAAGATGCATTTACTCGTGTTGGATACATTTTTTGCGAAAGCCCCGTCAACACTACTTGCAAGATTTCACGGAACTTTCCGCGAAAGTTAGGTTCCGTAAACCTATCTCTGTGTGGACAAGGCCTTCCATTTATAAGAAATGAACGGAAAAATTTTGAAAGAACAAACATAAATGTGGTTTGATAATTTCAACTTCCGCCGCCGCGCCACGCTGACTGCACTGTATTTGGCGCAATGCGTGAAGTATTCCTCCAGTCTTGTAGGCGTTGTGCGTTTCACGTCAACCGCTGCTGAACGCACTGAGTTTTACGCGATGCGTGAAGTATTCACGCAGTCTTGTAGGCGCTATGCGTTTCGTGCTGACCGCACTGTGTTTGGCGCAATGCGCGAAGTATTCATGCAGTCTTGTAGGCGCTATGCGTTTCACGCCGACCGCTCCTGACCGCACTGTGTTTGACGCAATGAGTGGAGTATTCATGCAGTCTTGTTGGCGCTCATATGTGTTACATGCCGACCGCCGCGACGAGGGCTTGTCCTTTTCACCTCAAGTCCTCGTCATCATTCCTCTCTGCACTGAGCTCCAGGCCAAATGGACCACTGGACAAGGTACGAATTTCAGCATTCTGATACATGTTTCTTAATCAAAATTTCACGTAAAATGCGATGCGCATAGCGAAAATTACCAAAATCACCTCCGTACGAAGATATTTAATGATTCTTGATGCTTGAATTCAAACCACCCGCTCATCGCGCGTTAAACGTTTATCATGATAGTCTCAGCGATATAAAAATCTGAAAACCTCAATCTTGACGGTTTGGCTCAGCTAGCTCAAATTTCTTGTGGTTTGAACAACACATGATGGGAAATGAACATTGCTCGATTGAGAAGCTTGCTGAAACCGTTGTAGTGCACGATTTGACTCAAGTAGAGCTTTGAGTTTCTTGTGAGCGGGCAGTGCAAATTCCTCGTAACCAATGTGAAATAAAAACGTTAATATCTTCATTAACAGTTGGTTTCAGAAATGTTCGTTGCACGAATCGTGTTCTACGTGAAATTCTGGTAAAAAGCATATATCAGAATGCTTAAATGCGTATCTTGTCTCGTGGTCCATTGCTTGTTTGGTTCCTACAACACGACTAATTAAAGATGCTGTCTCTTGTATCACCGAAAGACGGCAAAATTAGATATTACCATACTCTCAGGAAAGAGAGATTTTGTTCCCTTTTCTCATTGGTAATTTTTTTTTCTGAATCCGATTTCTTTCATACCTATATTTAAAAAATTGCAAAATTTGTCGCCCCTTGTATTTGCCGCCATGGGTCGCGGCCCATGTGGCCACAACCTTAGTCCGGCCCTAACCTTCATTTGAATGTGAAATCCCGCTTTTCCATTTCCTCAAAAGGTATCACGCCTACTCATATATTGTTTCTTGTAGAGCTTTCTTGAGCAGTTGAGCACACCCAATTTTTCCCCACTCGTCTATAGTTCCGTTTAGCGGAAATACGTCAATTTTGGGAGAATCGAAATTACAGTTTGTAGATAAAGCATGAGGAATGTCCGTGCCGAGAATCGTCTTCTAAATCTTTAAACAAAATCAGAAGTCGACGATGAAATTGCAAAAATAACCTGCCTATCGGCTGCGGTGTTTCGAAAACTCCGCTACTTTTTTTTTTTTTTTTTTTTTTT